TGGCTGGGGCAGGGATGGTGTTCCTTGAGTCCTTGACTTAAGGAATCCAGTTTTTGGGCACTCATCCCTCAGCATGGCGGCGTGGGTAGACCGTTCCCCTAGCGCCCTCTAGAGGACGCAGCGTGGAGTTCCCTTTCGAAAGGGAACGTCTCAGGTTACGCATGTAACCATGGTTCCCTGAGAACAGGGAACGAGACGCTGCGTCTCATTGCCATGCCTCGGGCATGCCTGCCTGCGTCTCCTTCAGACAAAGAAGTGGATGACGTTTTCCGCAGGTGCTCTTTTATACCCGCACTCGCTTTATTGTTTACGTCATAGGCTGCCGCCTGCCAATGTCAAGTTCATTGTCGTTTATTCATTCATGCTTCAGACACTGGTAACGCTGAAGGCGTTCCCCTAGCGCCCTCTAGAGGACGCAGCGTCTCGTTCCCTATTCTCAGGGAACCATGGTTACATGCGTAACCTGAGACGTTTTCTCTTGATGAAAAAGTTCACGTGCTGGTAGAACTTTGGCAAAACTGTCTTTAAGTTTGCATGATTAAAGTCACTGGATATTATGAAAAAGCCATCAGGGTTGTTTTTTAATATAGCGATTATTAGCATATGCCGCCTTTAGCATTGTGTATAATACATTTCTGCCTCATATGGTGATCAGAATTCCCTTTGGGTCGCAATCATAAGTTCATTCAGACACTCACTGTTTTCTGAAAGTGAGTTGCCTTTAAAATATTTTCAAATGTCTTAAATGTTGATGCTAGCTGATAGTTTGATATGAAAACATGGGAAATGAACAGCGGTGCCGACCGTCTCTAACTCGGATAAACTCCACCTTTGTTCATGACCACACCTCTAGCCTCACTTGGCCCACTTTGGCCCAAGTTATTTGACGGTCCGAAAATCTCTGGCTGTTGGCCCCGAGGAAGCCCCGACGAGGTACAATCAAGCCCTGGAAGTGACAGTGGAAACGTGACTGGCCATGGCACACACTAGCACACCTGCTTTTGGCCTGACAGTGGAAACACAGCTACTGGAGCAGCACCAAAATGTATTATTTTATTTATTTATTTATTTATATGCACATGTATGTATTATTTTATTTATTTATTTATTTATTTATTTATTTCCACAGAACATATAACAGTTTTGACAGGCTTACTTGATGGTTATTCCAGCATGTTATGCATTCCCGATTTTGTGTACCTTGTATTCTGCCATTTTTTGTTTTGTTTTTTTAGGTTTCTTTTGCCACATTTTGTAGTCATTTGTGTTTTTCTTGATGATTAGTTCAAGAAATTATGGCCTTGAATATCTGCAGCTCTTCTGTCAGCTTTCAGAGTACAGTATTGACAACACCATTGAATAGCATTGGGGGCATTATCGTTTGCTGTAGACTAATAAAATTAAAATACACAAATAGCATTTTTAAATGACTTGTTTCTAAATAAACTTGACATTTGACTTTGTTTTTGTGTTGAGTTTATCTCATATCTGAATGATGTGATTGTGTTGATGTGTGTTGATTGAGACGATTGAAGAGAATGTGGATTAATTTGTGTGTCGATGGAGACGATTGAATCGAATGTGGTTTGATTTCAGGCTCAAGCTGAGCACACAGAGCGTCAGATTAAACAGCAGTTTGAGAAGCTTCATCAGTTTCTCAGAGATGAAGAAGAAGCTACAATCACTGCACTGAGGGAGGAAGAGGAGCAGAAGAAGCAGATGATGAAGGAGAAGCTGGAGGAGATGAACAGACACATCTCAGCTCTTTCAGACAAAATCAAAGACATGGAGGAGATGATGCAAGCCAGTGATGTCTGCTTTCTGAAGGTCTGATTACAGATCATTGATTGATTGATTGATTGAGTTGTTGATGATCAATGGTGTGTTTGTTCTGCAGGAGTTTCCAGTCTCAATGGAAAGGTGAGTGATCTGCTGCTGTCTCTGCTCTCTCTGCTTCTGATCCAAAGCCACTGCAGTTCTGATCCTGAATGTTCTTCCAGAGTCCAGATCTCATCACAGCCGGATCCACAGACTCCTTCTGGAGCTTTGATTCATGTGCCGTGTTATTTGGGTAACCTGCCCTTCAGAGTCTGGAGGAAGATGCAGGACATCGTCCAGAACAGTGAGTCTGACTGCAGAAGATCTGGGCCCGTATTAATCAAGCCTCTGAGAATTACTCTCAAGAACGCTGCTAAGAATTTACTTAAGTGTAAAATAATTCTTGGCTTAAAGCTGCACTTAAAAGTTAGTTATCAAGCATCTCAGTCCAGGGCAGGGTGCGA